AGTTCCTTCACCAGCTACAACTCTAATTAAAAGAGAATATSTCTTTTTAACCACCAGGAACTCTTAAATGAAAGCCCCTGCAGCAACTTAACAGAGGTGAGACTACATCTCATAGTCATTTTACAATTTTTATTTATGGAACAACTAAAATGACAGTGTAAAATGTGTTTCAAGATTTCTGATCAGAGAGCTCATAAATTATTTATTGCCAGGATTTGGAAGATGCAGAATTATAAATAACTGTCAGGAAATTTTACGTACCTGTACCATCTCCTTATATTTGAAAAAGACAAAGAATACTTTAATCCATGGAGTATCCATGGAGTATAAAAGCAAAAAAGGACTGGTATTAAACAGGTTAGGGAAAAGAGAACTATTCCAGGTAAGTGAGTACTCATGGTACTCCTTCTAAGATTCATAAGGAAGTACTCCCAAAAAGAACTTCMCTAGCTAAAAAATAAAACTKAAAAAGAAAAATGGAACAAAATAAAACAGAAAATCAGCAAGTGTGCTAGCTGTCCTAATTTATCCCTCTTCAGAATCCTTAAAATTCACCTCTACAAATCCAGAAAAAAATTAGAACAGATAATATGAAAATTATTTGTATAGCAAGGCATTACAGCAAAATGTCTTTGAAAAGACATCTCTTAATTCCACCATGCTATTGGTGGTACTCCATTATTTCTCTATTATTTTTCTATTTTTTTTTTCTTGTGCTGCATTTAGCAGAACAAACTGGAAAGCTGTTCTGCTTTCCTGTTTTGAGTTTAGTCTCCCAACACTCACCACCAAACAGGCTACAAGCAGTAGAAATGTGGTGCTGAGCAGCTCCTGTCAATCAACACCCTACAGACCATCCAGTGATGTCGTACCTCAGCACAAGTCAAAAGTGCAGCTGTCCTAACCAAATTTTTTATGAGAGAACACATTTTGTTATATAATTCTAATTAAGAACTAAYAGGAACAGCTGTGAGATTAAGAAAAACGTTGTGTTTACAGTTTAATTTCTTTCTTCTTGAAATTAGCCAGAAGAACTTAGAAGCTGTTTTGCCAAATACCAAGCAAGCTATTTCCCTTGTCTTGCTGAAAAAATTAAACTGCAGTACCCAAGCATGTAACTTTTCCATTGAGAATTAATCTGGTAGTAGTCACTTGGACTAGTGACCAGTAGGTCCCTTTCAATAGTCTAGTGTTGTACCTAATAAAAGAAATKTCTCCAACTTTGGGATCAAARTTTYRCAGAGTTTGGTTAAGCATGAACACRGTRGATCATTGAAAGAGTGGTCTGTTTGCCATAGACAGCAGAAATTTGATTGCAATCGAAGGAAGATTCACAGTATCATGGAATATCTTGGGGTGGAAGGGACCTTACAAGAGATCATCCAGTTTCAACCCYTCTGCCATGGGAAGGGACACCTTCCACTAGACCAGGTGGCTCAGAGCCCTATCCAACCTGGCACTGAACACTTCCAGGACATCCACAAGTTTTCAGACAACCTGATCCAGTTGTGTMACAACTTTCACAGCTGTGAAACACACAAGAAGTCCCCTAACAGCTAACTAAATCTCCCTTCTTTCAGTTTAAGACCATTCCCCCTGATCTATCACTATGTAAAAATTCATTTTCTGTCTTTTTATATGCTCCTTTAAGTATTCAAAAAGGCTGCAAAGTGTCACCACGAAGCCTCATCTTTCTATAAGGATAAGCTTAGAAAGAAAGGGACTCTTGAAATGAGACAGACCCATAGTATTGTGTGTGTGAGGTGAAGAGAAAGGAAACAGCTGAGAAACAGCTCAGCCAATTAATTACACATTTCTGAAATATACAGTGTTAACAGTTTTGATCAAGCTTTTTAATACAGAATATAATCTTCACTGCATTACAAATCCAATTTTGCCTGGACCTCTCCTGCAGTCCAGACACAAGGCATCTCTCAAATCCCTGCAGGCAAGTCACATTTATCACTGTTCTTTAGGTCAGCAAGGTGGCCTGGAATGTGCCTTCTCAAATAAAAAGTGTGAAAAAGGGAAGAAAAACTGAAGTGGGACCACTGTTTCCCCTCAAGCAGGCTCGGCAGACTGCCAAATCTCAGGCAGAATGTGAGTYTCTTACTCGTCTCTCTACCCTGAGATCCTCATACTACAATTGTCAATAAAGGTAGCTGAGTTGAATTAGAAAAGGATCCTCTTAAAAGCTCATAGAATTAACAGTTTGGGTGTTACAATGCAAGGTGCCATGATGCGTTAACAGAATGTCTCTTCCACAGACATTCTTCCAACAGAATCCAACCTTTCCCACTTGAACAARCTCTCACATTTTTCAAAAACATTGCTGCTGTGAATGGTTTTGGATCCATTTGCTCAACCCAGACGTTACAGATCTTGATCGGGTTTTTTGTTTAGCGAGAGATTTGACACCTCACTGAATGAGGAAAAAGCGTCAGCTGGCTATTCCTGGGAGCAGCTGCAGAAGTGAAAGAAAACTGCTTACTCTCTAAAATGAAGGCAAGTGAATCAGGCTGGTCGATTATCATCTCTACTCGTGCCTCTGAAATAGCAGAGAGCAAATTGGAGCCACAGGATTTCCTGAAAGCGTTCAGATTGCACTCCCTTTTGCTGATTCTTATCCCACAACAGAGAACTGAAAGAGATAGCCCAAAACATGGCACTAACGTGACAAAATCAACAATGACAGCCCTCCCAAAAAAACCACCAAAAGTGCCAGCTGAATGGCATTAACAATTTGAGCATGACTCTGATGTCCAGGTTGGTTGTGTTTTAAGATTATGACACTACAAAAGATTTTGCATCATTATGGGCCAAAATCTGCACAAAATGATCAACACTGCATTTGCTGCCCAGGAAGAAATTCCACTCCAGGCTAAGGGAGGAACAAAACCTTTACTTTTCTCAGGTCCAAAGGTGCTAATTTCAGATCAGCACTGAAAAATCCTTCTGTACACACTCCTTGGCCCATGCTTGGTCTATGGCTGAGGAAAAAMCTCATAAACTTTGGTCTTCAGAGAKAAGTCCATCATTAGGTAAAKGTAGTAATTTTCTCTGATAAAATAAAAACCTTCTAATTTTCTGCAACACTCTGCACCATATAACTCCTTAAGGCAAATTATTTCAGGGGTAAGTATGAAGTAATGACTCTGAATGGCTCTCAGACTGATGCTTGCAGTTGCAGCTCCCTGAAGGAAACAGATGACAGTGCCAGACTTTCTTCCAGTGCAAAATGCAGTCAGCTGGACCAAATATTTMAAAGTGCCAAAAATAGAAACCTACTTTGTGGAGGATAAGAGTTGGCATCAGCTGCAACTAAAGCATTTGTTATGGTTCATAAAATTGGCAGAAATGATTTAATTTTCTTTTATGGGACATTAGGTTTTTTTAAATGGTCCTCCTGTCACAAAGCTTTTCCCTAGTGGATCTATTCTAGAAGTTAGTTAATGTATAAGATTTAAAAGTAACTACTACAACGTACCTTCTTTGATCACAGGTTAATTTAAATTTGAGGAAGATCAACACCAGTTTTCTTTCCTCACAAAACTGAATTTGAGTTGTGTTTCTATGGAAGGGAGASCCCTTTCCATAACTGAAGGAGAAGGGCAGAGAAAAGCAAAAACRTGGGAAATTTCCAACTTTTCATGGGGCTTCAAAGTGAAGGCGAATTTAATGGGAGAGGATTAACCATCAACCACTTCGCACTGCAAATGTATTACAGAATATGGGCACCAAATGTAGCAAAAGAAGAAGTAGAACCCTCAAAATGGARCTAAACTTCAGCAGACACAGAACCTTGCACTACTGTGCTTCCACATCCAAACCTGAGGTCACTTATTTGGTGCTGGCATACACCAGCAATAGAGTCTGTGTCTACGAAATGAAGAGAGACTCAAAATTCAGATCCTGCTGTTTTTTGGACAAACTTCCCCCTGCTCCAACTCTCCTTCCCCCTAAAAGTTTCAGAATTTTTTTCTACTTAATCAGGTTGAAAGAAGTGCTGGGTCAGAGCAGCAGCACAGAGAAAAGCACCTGTCAGGCAGATCTGTCACTAACCCACAATCCATGAGCATGAGAGATGCAAAGAGGAAAAAGAAGCCCTCCATGGAGACAGAATATGATGGAAAGAATACCAAAATCATAGTGTGTCACTCCCTAACCTGCACAGCACMTGGCAGCATCATTTAAACTTTCAGGAGGCTATAAACAAAGAAGTACCAGTAGCAGTGTTACATTCCACTATTCTACCAGGATTTTGAAACAAACATCAAAACAAATCCAAAGAAACAAACAAAAAGCTGCTGAAGGTTATCGCACATGTCTTTTTTGAGTTGGGTTTTTTTAACAGTTTCATAAAACTTTAGATTGTTGCTGTTTTCTTAATAGAACACCTACAGTGCTGTCATTTAAACTAACATACAGATGGAAAGGGCAAATAAATGGCATTATTATTTTGGCTGCGTTACACATCAGTGGATTTAGTCATACTCATGCAAATCTTATCATTTAAACACTACATGATAATACTTGATAGACACGAACTGTTGAACAGACAACACCAAATCTTTTAAATTACACTTTTTAAAGGTAATCGCATATGGAGGATATAAAAGATAATGTTGCAGAAAAACAAAAGAGAGATCCTGAGAGCAAGGATTTAATTGTTCAGTATACTGGAAATGAACRGCATCTCTCACAAGCACAGCACTTTAAGGAGAATAAACTGTTCAGACATTGTCTGCCTTGCCAACTGCATGAACAGGGCCAGAAGTCCTAGAAGAGCAGGTGCTGTTTCAAAACACAGCTGAGGATTCCAAAGCTTTTGGGGGATTGGGATGCTCAATTCCAATTAAAATCTTTGCCAGAGGCAGCTTCAAGAGTTCCACTAAGCCAGCACTTGCACAGATAAAAGTTTGTTGAGCRCTTAGCTCATGACTTTGCAAACATRGATTGAGCACAYTTAWGTTTAACTCTCAGTGTGGCTGCAGGTCCGCATTTCTTGCCCATAAACAAAGCTGCCTTCAGCAGCCTCACCTTGCATGTGCAAACACTTGTAGACATGCCATTTGAAAGAAAAACCACTGAGAGGTTTAAAGATTAGCGTCATCTCTCCAGAAAACAAAGCAACCTTGAGCTTTGGCACCCAGATGCATCGTGTTACACGAATACTCATTTTCCTACAGCAATGACCAGCACACATGGGCATTCAAAGAAGCCCTGCATCAGGGTTATGAAAAATGAATTATCTTTCACACATGCATGCACACCTGTCCTTGGAAACTTGAAATAAACAGAGCAGTTACACAATATTCTAACACAAATGTAGTGCCCAACAGAAAAGATTTGGATTTCAGAATCAATCCAYTGAGACCAAGATGTTACAGCAGCTCTATTTCACTATAAAGGCACCCTACATACAATAAGATAGAAATCAAAATTCACTGTTAGCACTCCAGTTTTACACAAGCCTGCTTTTCAGTACCATGTGTTTACTGCACTTGACTCAAAGCAAGATGCTGCTTCCAAATGGAAAAAAAAAAAAAAAAAGTGAAGAAAGTGAAGAAGTGATGAAATAAAACAAGCATGCAACAGGAAAACACAGTTTAAGAGATTTGCAGATATTCAAGGAAAAAAGTAATAGCCAATCTTGGCAATGCTTTCAGTTTGGTGAAAAAGTACCTGTCGACTTCCCTGCTTGGAGGAGCAGCTGCTAGTACTTCTTGAAGGAGACAGCATTTTCTGGGATGCWCCAAAGTTTTTTTCTTCACTCATGATCCAATACTATTTGTTTCACACAAGCTCACTTAGAACACCATTAAAAGGTAATTTGGAAAATGTGCTGGAAGACTCCTCAGAGAAACACTGAACTCATCCTTTACCCAAACGCAGTCTAGTGGCATGATCTGTATCCCGTGAAAACTCCTAAAAGGGAAAAGAAAAACAAAAAGCCAAGTTATCAGATGCTCTCTCTTGCTGCCATACTGTAGCATGAATCATAGTACAGCCTTTGGTAACACAAGCTGAGCACATTGCTGTATTTTATCAGAAATAAATTCAATAATCACTTTAAGATAAATTTGCAAGTCTCAAACAGCAATGACATGAATTTTGGATGCTAAAAACACTTTAATCATTGCTATTTATTCAGAGGACAAAGTATGGTATCAAGTATCTTTTTACRGATTTAAATGAATTAAAAATTAAATAAAGGCACACAAAGGAAATCATAAATATCTATATGAAATGGCCCCAAGCAGACTCAAAGTGAAAAGAAAACATCTAATAAAACACGTCCAAAACATGATGGTGTAATCAAAAATATTTCTCTTTTTCTTAGTTCCTTGATAATTTAAACAAGTAAGCATGGTCTCAGATTATAAGTTAAAAAGCCCTCTACATAAAAGAGTAATATCTAAAAGTAATGAGCATGAAAACTTAGCTGCATAAAGCTGTGCATGACCACTTTTACCTGGAATCACAAAGCTCTAACTACTGTCACATCAGCTGTCTCAGTRAATGACTGGAAGAATAATTAGCAGTCTGTTTAATAACAGTGCTCCTTGCAGCACATGTAAATAAAAGCCACGCCAGCAACTCCCAGTAACGGATTTCCAGCATGGGTAAAAGTTGTCATGGTAACTTCATATTAAAAAAAAAATAAAAATAAACAGAAGACATTACTAAAGGGTSATGCTTTCCAAAACTTGGGGTGGTAGAGAAACCATATAAATTGTGTATCACTTCAAATTTTATTGCCTCAGRCAAAGAATTCACAACTAGGAAAAGTCCAAGAATAACCACTGAAGTAGTTAAGGAAGTTTCCACAGACAGAAAAGAAATTTCATTGCCAAAACAGGGAGGCACTGCTTCACAATTCTCTTGCTTGCACTGTCACAACAGTCCTGAGATGGGATCACTGATTATTGAAGTTTGCTATTCATTTTTTTTATCTTGAAGACGTTTATATCTTATTCTGAGAGAAGCAGTAATTTCAGATCCCTAGTAAAATATTTTGTGCATTTTAAGAATTSATTTCCCTTAAAAAGAAAACCAAAACCAAACACATCAAAAGCCACAGTCAAGAAAAACCAAACCAGAGCACAAAAGAAAACCAGGTGCTATATTTAAGATGAAGACAACACTGCAGCAAAAGACCTCTTTCTCTAGTGCTGTAGCCTGAAGGATCCAACTTCTGAACAGAGACCTTTTCCAATCTACAGTGCTTCCTGGCGCTACAGTTTGCTGTAACATTTCAATCAACATGCCCTCTTTTCACCTGAAACACAATCTCTCTTTATGGCATTTACTCTAYCCAGTTAGAAATAGTCTGTTACCTCTAGAACAAATCTGTGATAGAGCCCCAACCTCCACCAATGAAGTGAGAAAAGAACTCTCTCTCCTGGGGTTCCTCCAGGAGTGAAGGTGAGTCAGCTTGGCAAATATTCCAGGAACGCCAGAGAGCTACAAAGACAGCGAGCACAATAAAGGCCAAACAATCCYAGAACAGCAATGTGATAGCAAGGTCTATGTGATTTGGGCCCAACATATGGACTTTAGACTGAAATTATGACTGAGGTTAGAAATAGTGCATTTTGGAAAAGGTATAGTCACTTTCTATCTGGAAAACAAAGTTGTGTGGCATTTCATTAAGAACTAGCACTTTTAACACATTTAGTTTTATTTCATTTTACTTTTTTTTTTAAAGTTAGAAACATCTCAGGTTTTAAACTATGGATAAATGTAAAGAATAACTTTCTTCCTTACTTGCAAGCTCCATTTTGCAAAACAGTTTAATGGTAATATCTGTATTAACAAGCAGAGGTCAAACACTCTCAACAGGAACAGAAACACTCTTCCTGCAAACTCATTGYTCAGATACCCCACACAGCAACTGCTTTACTTTTGGGACACAYTTTGCTGAGATAAACCCCTGTTCTCTTCACTGCTCCACGCTCAGAATCAGCTTTCACTGGTGACTACCTGGCATTTTGGCAGTGATTGGCAAAGTTCACAGCAAGAAACAGGCTCTAATTTGCAGCAAAATGCACTGAAAATATAACTCAAAAATCCCTAGAGGTTTCTTGGCCTTCTACACAGAGAGAAGCCATATAATCATGGGAATATTTCTATCATCATGTTTCCGGTGTGGAGTGTAAATGAACTCTGGTTTGGCTACACTAATGTTTTAGGATGGACCAGAGGGGTACTTCTTCTTCAAGTCTCCTATAATAATTTGATTTGCACTGCAGTACTGTCTTGGAACATGGAAACTGAATCCCTTTTGGATTAAATGTTCTCCAGGACTGAATCCAGTGCACAAAGCATTGAGTCCACAGCACCAGACTAGAGTTAGTCCTATCTAGTCTTATTCAGGGGCTGATGTTAGGTCTTCATCTTTACTACAAGGATCCACTTTTACTGCAATGCTCTCCTTGCTACCATTGACGTCAGRGAGACACAGACTTACACCACCTAGGACAGCACCTCAGATCTCCTAGGGCAATGTCATTTGTCCTTCTGGAATCAAAAAGAGTGAGATGGGCACGTTTCCAGAATTCAAATGAGCTGAAGATGACTCACTACCCAACAGAGCGTGCTTGAACAAGGAGCAGGAGGCAGGTGAGGTAAATCTGGCCRAGCACACCTCAAATATTTTGTCATTCTACTTCGAAAGTTGGGCTTTTGGATTTTTCTTTATTCCTTCAAATTAGTTACTACAAGGACTGAAAGGAGGGCTTTTCTTACCAGCCCTGAAGAGCACAGGAGTGAAAAATGTGTCCTTTCTCCAAGGTGCYTTATTCTATTGGTGTTTCCCAATAATTCAACTTATTACCCTGAGACTTCCAGATTTAAACATGAAAAAGTGTATATGACTAATGATTGTGGCCCCAACTCCTCTGTAAAAACTGCTGCATATTCCAGCAACAACTTCATGCTCCTTTTTCAAAATTCTCTTCAATTTTAGAAAGGAAAACAGAAAACYGTGGCTGCCCTTCAGCAATAACTCATTTATTCTTCCAGGAAGGTGAGAAGACACTGATCCTGCATCCCAATTTGACTGGATTTCAGCAGCCGCGACAGGGCCTCTGTAGGGCAAATGATATTTTACATTACCTGTGGAAATTAAGGCCACCAGGTATAAGAGCAATTACAACTTCAAAGCAACCATAAAAAGCAGTGTTATGCTAAGGAAGCAAAGACTGAAACAAAAAAATGATTTTTAAGATCATCATGATCCAGTTGCTTCCAGTTTCTTACAATTTGCACCTTTCCATGCCACAGGATGGCCTCAGAGCTGTATTTGTTCCCACATTTCTCTGGAGCACATAGTGCCACTTACTTTGGTCCATTCCAAAAAGACAACTCAAAGGTGTGARGCTGAGGCAAATTCAAATAAATTTAGGACAGTAATTTTCACAAGTGCTCAGCATTGGCCTAATTCTTTTCTAAAAAGACAACAGCTGCAAAASTAGGCCAAGAGTACCTCTGCAAATRACCTCAGCAGGTGCATTTTGAAGAATTAAGAACACGTGAGTATCAAATATTACTTAGAGCTACTATACCACAATATGATAAACAGCACTTACCTCTACTTATCATCTGCTACTAAGAGCCTTATCAAATTATCAATTAAAACAAATGTAAACACATGATAATATGTAAAACAGGAATACTTTTTTTTTTTTTWAAGTACCATCCCAGGTTGTCCTAAACCTTAAAAATTGCACAGGTTCAAAGCAGCCTTGCAGAATTGTTTCATCTCTCACAACTCTGAAAAGAATAAGCTCATAGCAAAATCAAAGATTTTTCACATCTCACAAAAGAMAAGTGAAATTCAGAAAAAAAAATATGTATAACTGCAGTAAAAAAAAAATCAACATTATGCAATTATTTTTGCTATGGTTCTGGAAGAAAAATAAAGCCTTAACAGCTGTTTCAAAGCTGATTCAGCAGTGAAGGAACACTGTAGGGACTTTGAGAAGCAAAACTGGAAGTGTACATCTCATTCTGTAGTTAATTAAGGTTTTTTGGATAGAAGAATAGAAAGAACATGAAGCTTGATGAGAGTCAGGTGGATGCAGCAAGCATGGAACTGAGCAATCCAAACCAGAGTTGCAAGCAACATTGAGTGACTTTCACAGAATTAAAAAAGACTTTGTGCTGGAACCTTTGCTCTGCAGCTATTATTAAATTACATTCACTCACATCTGCCTGGATAAACAAAGCAAAAGTCTTTTCCTAGTACTGCTTTCATGTCTCCCTCTGTTATAGCTCAATTTGCCAGCTTTAATCTATCCCAGTGCTTCATCTGGCTCAAAACAGGAAAGAATTATTTATAGGCTACAGACACCATGTGCAACTATTGGAGATGTTTCTTCAAGGCAGTTATTTGCTGTTCCTCAATTACCATAAGATTCGCACTACGGAAGGTCGAAGCACACAAATCCTGCTCTTTTACTAGCTATTCTCTTTACTAAACAAAACTTGCAGAAACAACCATAAAGCAGTTTAAAACAGCTCTTACCAATAGGTTATTAAACCTTTCTTTGAAAGCAAGARTTCAAACAGCTCAGGGAGACTGACAGTAACAGGAAGCATTTCACAACTGYCTTCCATCAGATAGGTGCTCACCCAAATCACAACCTCTCTTGAGAAGATGTTTTCATCAGCCACAAACAAATACTACTCTGAAGTAGTCTCTGATGCAAAGGAACAGTTCCACCTCCTCCTTAAGGAGGATATTGTGGCAATTARATCATGCTATGTCAGTGACCCAAAAGAGGAAAATTTAGTTCAAAGAATACTCTCCTAGCTGTCTCATCAAGAGAGACATAGACGGAGAGGGAAAGGGGAAAAGATAGACAAAAAACAAACATACTGCATTTAACAACAGATTGCTTATCACGTATAATGTTCATCAC